CCCCCAGAGGCAGCTTTTATTTTCCCAGTGATGAAAGAAAGACGGAATGCTAACTAATAATGTTCATCGTAATTTAACTGTCGATATATGAGAGATTATAAACAAGAGTTTTTTCTTCTTCCAAATTCCCAAATTAAAATAAAGGAAACCATGTCATAGACATTTGCTAACATGACTTGCATTATCTCAAATCAGACTCGAACCCGAAATAGACGACTATCGATAAACCTCCCTTTATCTCCCGAGATCTGTCAATGGCTTCTCAGCACGTGCAAGATAGAAGCAGCTAGGAGGAAATTACATAAGCGATTCACAAGTCTCATGTTGTCTATGTATCTTTATTTTGACTTAAGATATGGTGTTAAAATTTAAATCCAGGCAATCTTTCGCAGATTCCACGTAAAAAAATGAACTCAATACTTCAGATAAATACTCATCTGAAATGGTTGCCAATAAGTACTCCAGTACTGGATGTCTTCGTGCGACTGCCACCATTGATTTATTTTTGTTTCAATAAAGTCTGTCATGCACTGAAAAAAAAAATTGTCAGAGAAAAAGCCAACAATTATAAAAGCCAAATATTAGATTGCAAAAGTGGCAGGCCTGGAAATCGAAACGCTCAAACTCGGACATCTTGCAAGTAAAAAAGGTATATTTATATAACACTCCCTGATCAACCGGATCCTAGGAAGTGGAGGGCACAAGGGTAACTAAGTTATCCAAAAATTGACCATGTCAACTCAAACAGTGAATCTAACCAGTATAACTTTGAGACAGATCTGGAAGAAGAATTATATATTTAAAAATTTAAAATTTAAAATTAATTATTTTTTTATTTTTTTTCAAATTATTATTTTTTTATGGAAGAAGAATTATACCGGTTTGTTTTTATATTTTTAAAAATTATTTATTTTATTTTTTTCTTTGTTTTAAATTATTATTTTTCTTTGTTTTCAAATTATTTTGATATATTAATATTAAAAATAATTTTAAAAAAATAAAAAAAAATTATTTTAATACATTTATATTAAAAACCACAGCATAATCATGTCCTCATTTATCAGCAAACAGTAATCAGTTAGGAATGCTGCCATGTCTGACGACAAGCATACAATAACACTAACGATGAAAGGGGGTAGCAGCAGGATACCATGGCCTTGAAAATTCTAAGCAAACACAATTTACAAGGCAAAACAAGAGAATTTACAAGACATTCCCTGCATATATTTCCTAACCGAGAAGAGGGAACCTAGAAAACGTCAATTGAAACTCATTTCAGAGGCTTCCAAGTTGAAATTATGAATGAAGAGAGCAAGAAGAGAGAAATTCCAGCTGGTATCAGAGGCGTATTCTTACAGAACCATCCTCTGTATATTGATGTGCCCAAAACATGTTCTGTTATCTTATCATCACATTGGCTTTCCTTAAAATTTAAAATTGGAGTTGTTTGTGGACTGCTCACGGTAAGCACCAGGGCCCCAAGTTTCTCTGTGGGATTTTTTCACTGCTTAAACATCCTTAAAAAAGAAAAGAAAACTGCCCTCCCTCATTTCTTGTTCAAGATTTGAGTTGTGAAAATAGCACAGCTCCATGAAATGCATATTAACTTTCTAGCTTAAATTAAATCAAAAGTCTCTGTAAAATCAAGACCCTCTTTAATAAAAACACTAATAGCTAATTAAATCAAAAGTCTCTGTAAAATCAATACCCTCTTTAATAAAAACACTATTTTTAATTTACTCTTTAATAATAACGAATTCGAATCCTCTTAGGGTTTATATGATCGTTAATTTCAAGAACTATAAGATTAGTTAAAATACAGGTAAATTAATTGGACATCCATATTAATAATAAAAAAAAAACTAATAATATTTTACTTAACTTCCATGACTGTTTTTTCTTAAAAATTATTTGAGATTTTCCTCTCTGAATACTTCTAACTTAAGAACACTCTTTAACTCATTGAAAGCGAGTTTATTTTTCATAAATCAAGTCGAACACACCCTTAATTTATTTAAAAAGTTACCTGATTGAAGGCTATTCTTTAATTCATATTTCACTGGTGGATTTTAACTAGTTTGCTTAAGGCAAGCATAGAAAAGAGTAACATCCGTTTGAATCACAGAGAGAAAGGCACAGGAAAATGATCATTGGCAGGCACTTGCTGTTGGGATGATCCTTGGAAAGCAATAGGTTTTAATGTGAAAAGGCCTCTAAAATAGTCCTGGTATGGCGCTGTAACTTCTGCGGGAAGGTTTTGCCGATCAAGAGCAAGAACAATCAACTCATGATAAACTGAGCTCAAGTGCTTGTATGGAAAGGTAACCAAGTATTTTAATAGTTCCGTGAGGGTCACGGATTGTACAAAATCTTTTCAGAGAGCACAAAATCATGCAATGGCTGGAGCACGATTATCATACTTGTTTGGGTGGCTAAATACATCAAACTTGACGAGGGTGGTGTTTTTACAAGTTATTTATCACGACAATCAATCGTGGATGATACATTTCATGATCAATGATCTATGGCCTGTAAAATTGATGTATATTTTGTACTCGGGACACGCGACGTAGCTGTTGCATCCAACCACAGACCGATAATGCTGCTGCTCAACATCAACGCACAGTGGGCAAACACCATCGAGTCTAAACAGACATTGATGATAGTTCAAGGTTAATAAATTGAAACATGCAAGAACATAGGAAATAGAAATAAACGAACTACTGGTCATTCAGACACGAAAATTATGCATAAATGCAAGTCGAAGAAAAATTCACCTTAACTAAACAAATGAATGGGCACAAGATGAAGAGATTGAAATTGGGGGGGAAACAGTAATTTTGACAAAACAAAGATGTATTGACAATGGTGAACCATCTACACGATAGTAGTGTGATTTAGAGTTCAGACGGGTTAACTAAACACACTGATTTAAAGTTTCAGCATTATAAGATTGAACACGGCTTTCACTTTGGTTGATTTCATAACAAAGCAATCATAGACTAGTGGACTGAATATTTTGTCAATAAAGATATAGGGATGAAGAAATTACCATAATAATGACCTTGGTAAGGAGTAGAATCCTTCATGCTCAAAGTCTGCCAGCTCTGGCCCACCTCCTCCACTGGCAACAACTGCTTGTTTATCAGAGTCTGCAACTCCTTTGCTCTCCTCGTCCTTACAGGCATCAAGTTCTGCACTTGCATCAGAAGAGTTTGGCACACAATGTTTCTGAAGCCACCTATCGGTTTCCCATAGAACATGCAAGATGCTCTCTCGTGCAGCATACCCATGGCTCTCAAAGGGTAGAATGGCCGGGCGACAAAGGGCACCATGACCTTTCAGGGCGTTAAAGAAACGATCTGACTGCATCATGTGAAAATGGAAGATAAGCAGCAAGTAAACATGTTGGGGAACACGAAATGAAGCTGGAAACAAACCACTAAACTGAGAAATCAGCAGTTAGGGAGGCTAGAACCATGAATTTTTTTTATATAAATACCTGCATGGTTAGCGTTCCTGAATTATTGTCTTCTTCTCCATGGATAAGCAGT